TGTACGAATCTGTGCTTCTGTGTATGTGTGGCCGTGTGTTTTCGGCAACAGTATATGCAATACGCGAAATAGGTCACGGAAGCGCGAGTAGAGAGAGAGAAAGAGAGAGAGTCAGTGAGTATAGAATATAGAGTCAGTACGTCTTAGAGTCGAAATTCAAGAATTATCTTTGTATCATATGTTAAATAAAAATCATCTACACCGGTAATACGAGGGATCATTATGCTAGCAGATAGAAACAATAAAATCGCTACAATATCCATTGAGATCGAATAAAACAGTGAAATTTTCGTCGGCGTCACGAAGTGCCGTTAGAAGGTTATTTCAAAAACGGAGGATTTGTGAATGTAGATTTACTGAACATATTTATTTTCTTTCTTCAATTGGCACTGATAATTTTTTTAACAGGACATAACAGATACGTCAGACATCGCCTGGTTGTATTAACAAATTTGGGTAATATGGAAATTTCGTAAACCTCCAACTACGTTCGTAAATCCACTAGAAAGCTACCTGTAAAGTAGCTGCTCGTTCGTGGGATTAACAACCGAAATAAATGAGAAGTGTCACTCAAACGTCTGAACATAATTACACAGGTTCATCTATCCGCTACTCATCTACTCGTTCTACTTTAATCTGGTTATCTCGTAATCGCTTAACTATCTCGACCGTTTCTCCTTTTTCCCACAGCTCTCTGTACGCTTCCCCTACGATTTTATAGTTCGAATGAAAAAACTGCCCTACATACATGACAACAATGTTTTAATCATTGTTGCTCAAGGTATACTTTATTGTTAACATTCCAACAAACGAAAAAGGTATATTTATAAACATCATAGATATTTGTGTTCATAACATTAATATTAAATTATTCGTAACATGAAATCATATTGCGCTATACGTTTTACAAAGTGAATAACATTATTGTCCATTAAATTCATTGAAAATTTGTATCACCAGTTCAACTTATTACATACAAACTAGTGTGTGTATGAGCCAGTTTGAACGAGTTTAGCGACTGTAAGCGAAGCCACACCCCTAAAGAGCTATAATCCCTTAGTGGGGTGATATGTCGCAGCGTGGGCCAAATCAGCTCCCCTCCAGAAACTTCACGTTTGTTCGCGAAGGCCCTACTTACTCTTACTTATAAGATATGAGGTTAGACAGTATAAACTCTCTATGATCTCAAACGTAAAACCGAAGTATTTTATTCGACAATTACAATTCTCTTACTCAACGATGCACAAGTGACCATTGATCTGTATCTTTCCTTAATTACTCGTTACTTCAATAATACCTTCATCAAAATTCACTAGAAAATATCAACATTGATAAGAACACTGATATTAAGAATGTATGTTCTACATTAAAAGTACCCGTGTCACTTTAATTTCGACTCAACTTATTTATTCGTATTATAAATAAACATGCAAACATGGTGCACGGTGAAAGTAAACTTTCAAGTATCAACTTCGAGAAGACGTGAAATACGATCAGCACGTCAACTTCTTAAATGGTGTAATATCGAGATTTAATGTTGCGCGTTCGATACGTTCAATTTCGAGTGACTCGACGTAGAATCCTTTTCCTTGGCCGGTTCTTGGTGTTCGCCGTTCCCTCGGCTCGAACGGTTGGCGAAAAACTTTCTACCGGACGTCTCGGACTGTAAGGGGTACGACGGAACTTTCGTTGAATGGGCCGCGCACACACGCCGACGCTTAAGGCTCATCGATTCCCCGACAATTACCCACGGATCGTTGATTAATTGCACACTCGGTCGAGTACACGTATTTAGCGGCGGTAGTGAGATCGGTCGTCCTTGGCCGGTCAAGTCTTCGGTGTTCTTCTCTCCTAAAGTTCGGGTGTCGTGTGACCATTCACGTGTGCAGAAACCAACGGAGTGCTGGTCCGTGGCTTTTTAACTAAACACGGGCCGTTTAAGGAAAAAAACGGGATGTTGCGGGCGGAACCCTAATATTCTTTGAGCGCGAGGGCGGTCTTGGAGTTCGACGAAACGCTCCGTTTCTTCGGGACGCTGTAGAATGCGTTGGAAGAATGATATGTAAATAAATGGCTAATTGCGTGTGTCTATATACAGAGTTTCTTAGTATTCTTGCAATGAGAAATATTGATTTTGAAAAATTGTTTAGATCAGTTTAAATATTTGACTGAAAGTCGCTGTAGAAAATTTTCTTTTTCTCAAAGAAATACCATCTCTCATTATTCTTTGTCTTCCTGTCTGAAACAGTTGAACATTTTCAAAGATGAACGTTTTTATTAATTTTCTTAAGTTACGAAAAATCAAATGCTGAACGCAACATCGAACGACTACGGTTAATTGTATTAAGAAGAACGGGGTTAATGATCGTGGAACGTAATAACCGTAGTTACAAATGTGGATTATTACTATAAATCGAAGTCAACGTTGTTATCGGCAATGTAAGCACACTTACAAACGTTCCTAATACGTACATCGCAAATTGACACACGACAAATACGAAAAACATAAAAGTAATCCAATGAAAAATAATATTACAAGAAACAAACTTGTGATTTGCTTGCAAGTTTATCTGACCGGTTTTATTACTCCGGTGTTCAATGAACAGGGAATATCGGTGTACGAAACGCAAGCGACGAGTAATTATGAATATTCAATATGATTAACAAGCAAAAGAAAGAAGTATGCGCGGGGGTGGAAAAAGAAGCTGCCGATTATACACGGTAATTAATATTAAATCGCTTATTCACCGCGAGGACTGGTGCTCGACTGAATAATGCGGAAACGGAGGGTGACGATTGGCAGGAAAAATCGAGTTACGCACAGGCGCAAAAATAATTAGCGAACGGAGACGTCTTTATTTTATCCCGAGGCCGCGAACCTCACGGAACGGAAAGAACAATGATATTTATATCGGAAACGGGCGCGTGCGCGGGCTTCGGTGCACGAGGAACAGAGATGTTTCCTGTTATAACTGTATTCCCGTAGCTATCATTAATAAACGCGTTCCACCTTTTCTCCACTCTTTCTTTTTTTTCCCTTCTTGCCCGTAAATGCGAATGCTCTCGAATTAGCGCTTCGACAGCCGCTTCAAACGAGAATTAAACGCGCAGGTAATTGGAACATAATTGGAGCCACCTGTTCCGCGCGCAACCCAGCAAAGGATGTCAACTTCGCGTGCACGATATCCTCCCCCGGCGAAGAAGTTCGAACAATTATTTCCACGCGTGCCCCACTCCTTCCCCCGCACCCCTTAACGATCCAGAGTTACGTAACGATATTCAAAGTTAAAGAGGTCGAAGCAACGGCAATTTATGGCCGCCTTTAAATTGCCCGTGGAGCGGAAAGACGGCGAAATGTTCGGCTCCTTTAACGGTTAATTAATTGCACTCGGGGAGGTGTTGTTCGGAAAATAAAGACACAGATTTCTCTGGTGGAGACGTTTATTTTTTAAAACCACTGATTTATTCTTTTGAGCGTGATAAAAATTACAGATTTGTCTTGGGAAATGTTATTTCACGTGTCTTCTGTGCTGTCGACGTTTGAAGTTATAGTCGGTAGCAATTCATTCGCGATTTCTTCTGCAAGTTATAAAAGTGTCATTCTTGTGATTACAGAGTGTATATACAGTAACACATAGGTAAATAAATAAATAAATTTATTCGATACTTTCAAGTTAAGATTGCCTTTGCGATTTTCTATAGTAATGAGAAGAGGGAGATCTTATATCCGCTGTCTTGATAAATTTACAGCACCACCGTCAGCATCTTTAATATCCTTGCAACAAATTAATTAATTACAATATTATCATTTATTCATCCAGAATTCCGTAATAACAGTGCGCCTTCCCTAAACGTCCTTCGTCATTTGCCGAACAACCCCAGTGGAAAAGACGCGAGCGCCGGGTCTCGGTAACATGGCGGACCCAGTCTAATACGTTGACCGAAACTACTGCGCAAACAGTGTTCCGTAAACAAATTAGTTACGCAAACAACGAAACAACCATTCAGCAATGGTACAACGCGTGCGACGCACACCGTAACAGTGCGCGTACGCGATATCCGGCGACGGGTACCTTCTCCTCTAACCCTTAATCATAACCATTCTGCAACTACACTCGTGTCATTCTCATCCCCATATCCCGATAGAAGCACACCAGCGAATTGAAAGAAGAAAGGGACGCGTGTGCAAAACAATGAAAACGAGGGTCGCTCGCTCGGAGAAAGAAATACCCATGAAAGTGCACGACGGAAGGGGGAGGGAGGGTGAAAACAAGAAGGAGGGAAAGAAATGGCGGAAAAAGAAGAGCGAAATAAAGAGGCGAGGAACGGCACACATGTTCGTACATACGGGATTCTTGCCGTGCACGTTCGCGACGCACGCATACAAACCTACACATGCGAACACACACGTTCACCAAACGCACAATCACACACGTGCATACACGCACACGCACCCACACATACACGCGCATACGTACAGATCGTCGACTTACCTCTTGGCGCAGAAATTCGAGCGGCCAGCCGAACGAAGGCAGAGAAAAGAGGCAGGCGGATGACGACGGCCGCGACGGCGTTGCGTGCGAGAGTGGAGTCGCGACGCCGGGCGTCGGCGTGCGTCGCGGGCGTCGAACGGCCACCGCGCCGCGAAAACAATGGCGTCCCGCGGCGCGGTCCAACGGCGAACGGTCCCGCCCACCGTAAGCCCCACCCATCAGACCATTCCAGTCTGAACTCTCTGTACAGCGCTGTGCCGAGACGCGAGGACCGCTTCAACGTTTATATCGGCGACAGCGCTGTCACTGTCGTTCCACCGTCGGAATCCCTACCCCACCGATTCCCCCACCATACCACTGTCGCTCGTTGGAGGGGTACGAGCGAAAGGGGAGCTCGACCACACCGATCGAGGCTCCGCCCAGATGCACGCTAAACGCGGAAGTCTGCGCTTTGGGGAGCGGGGGGCGGGGGAAACACCCGTCGCTCTCTCGAAGCCAGCTCGTCGTCCGACGAATTTGCCCGGAGGGGCTACACTGGTGCCTTCGTCGGACTAGCCGGACGTCGGAAAGGGACAGCTTACGGAGAGCAGTCGCAAGGCGGAGTGAGAAGGAGTGAACGAGTGCGAGCGCGAGAGAGATAGGTAGAAAGAAAGAGAAAGAGAGAGTGAGCGAGAAAGAGAGACCAGGCCCGATAGAGGGAGATCGTATACAAGGGACGGCAGTAAGGGGTGGGGGTGACGAAATCGTGCGGCAGGGATCTTCGCATGAAGGAAGGCAGACTCTGGTGGTCAATCGGGCGCCGCGCACCGCAGCAGTGACGCGTCACTGCACCCCTGTTTTCGAGTTGCACGTGTTTCTTTCCTCTTGACCGACTGCTCTCTCACGTTCGATTCCTCCTTCTCTCGTTTCCTTGGTCAAGCTCGCACGCGATTTAACCGCCGCCGAACGCCGGACCAAGCGTGACGCCCGACCGGACGAAAACGAGGCGCCGTTCGTACTCCCGCACACCCCCCGGGCTTCCAACGTTTGATGGCAAAAGGTGTCGGTCCCGCTGCCGCGGCACCACCTCCGCTCCATTCACGTTTCCGCGAGTATCGCCGTCGGCCGGCCCGAGGGGTCCGTGCGGCCGCAGACGCGACGTTTCGCTTGTGAACACCCGATACATCCGTGCGGGCCCGCCTCTGGATCGGAGCCCCGTAGATCGGCCGCCGGCTCTCCAGTGTGAATCCCGTGGCGAGGCTGAGCTCGTCGCCGCTGACGGATCCCACGCGGTTAAACTGTGCGTTCTCAGTGATCAGTGATCGGACACCCGCGTCCGTCGAAGATACGCGAGCGCGGCTTCAACGCAGCTCGTCGAGAGACCACCCGGCTGGAATCGTCGACGGAGGATCGTCGGGCAACCGCTTGGCCGGGCGCCGATCGTAAAGTGCTGTGAACGTCTCCGTCGCGGAGGACACGTCGCTGCGGATTGTGCTTTTAGCTGGTGACTGGATCCGGCCTGACCACGGCCATTCTCGACACGGTACGTTTTTTTTTCTTCTCCCATCTACGATCGAACGGGCAGAGTCGATGAGTGGATACGAGTTACCGTGGAAGAAGTCGAGCGTCCCTGGCTTCAAGGTTAAGTCCCGGGGACGGTGGATCTGTGTGCATATTCCGGCGGAAGGTTCGCCTGTGAGATTCAAATTTGCCCTCTTTTCGCGCCCTTTGGTCGAGCAACTCTCCCGATGGTAAATTTTGGAGTTCGCGTCACGTATTTGGTACTGGTCGAAAGGGATAGGAGAGATTGGACGTGTTTGTCGTTGTTTGTTTGTAATATGTACACACATAGTGCGATTAGACGTAAAGTGTAGCGGAGAAAGTTCGTTGAGCGTTCGGTTCCGGCGGCAACGGTTCTCCATGTTACTTCTTTAGAATCGCGTAAGCGTTCTCGGTTAAAAGTGTTGTAGAATCGATGTATACGGCTTTCGAAGTGTTTCTCGGTATGTAATGTTGCGAGAAATTAATTAATCGTTGTCAGCAATGAGTTTCGCAGATTATGGATTGGAAGTATTATGATATTTTGTATCGGGAAGTAGCGACGGGTCGACTACCGATCTCCGTATACATTGATATATTCTTCATCGAAACGAAAGAAGCTAAATTAATTCTTCGAGCCATTGTCAGTTTCATTCCAATTTTGTACTGTTCAAAATTTGCTGTTAAAACCTTCAGTATGCTAACTGCAGCTTCGTATGTCTGCTATTTCAAATTAATAAATTGTTTTGTTAATTTGCGACTCAATTGGTAATGTTTACCCCGACGAAATTGAAGCAAACACTCCGAAAATTCATATTAAAAGTTAACAAAGGGTGCCACGGAAAGAACACAAAAAGGATCAAAATAAAACGGAGTAAACTCCGCGGACAAAACAGTGTTATAGAGAATGAATTCGCTGTTGCGTCTATCTGCCATTTTCATTGAAACAAATCATTTTTTCCTCCGCGAGTTAGAGGGCCGACGGCCGCGGGAAATGTAATGAACCCGGCTAGACGTAATAAGTGGAAAGCACGGGTAGCTCGCCGGTTACTGACAAATTGCCGCTGCCACAATGGCGCTGTTGACGCTTCAATATCTCATTGTGATCGCGGAAAAAACCCCTGTCACTTTGAAAGTGAATTGCATCGGATTTATTTCGCGGAGGGACATGATTAAATAACGCCCAGGCTCTCTGTTGTTCGCCGATGAAATCCACCGAGCATAAATGTCACGCGTTCCCCGCGGAAGATGAGTAAATTATTTACATTGAATCGCGAAAATCAACGGACACGGGAGCACAGAAATGTTATATTCCCTAAAACAACTTTGCAAGTTAACGCGTTACCGACGCGACGCAAACAGAGAAGAATTCTTTTCAGACGCAAAAACAAATCGTCGGGTTGATCGATCCTTCGTCTACAATGAACTCCGTATAAAGTACCACGTTCCAAGTATACTTCCTTTTATTTTATCATTTCGAATTCCATACACGTCCGACCAACGAAATTTTCTTTTCGTGAGTCCTTTCTCCTCCGAAATGTGAAAAGATCAATTCCGGGCGAATCATAGGGGAGCGAAGTTTCCCGTTCCGCAGTGTCGGGCTGATTGGGCCACCGTCGGCGATATTTTCATCTCATTATACTTTCAACATTTCGGAACGGAGCCGAGCGAGTATATTTCGGCCGAATGAAACAAATTTCACCTTTATGAATAATTTATACACATCGTCAGCCGAATTAGGGATACGTCGGGCAACAGGGGGTGGGTTCCGGGGCTCTCGGGCCGCAGCCGCGAACACCTGTCCGCCTTTTTATTATTTTTACGCGGCCAGAGGGAAAAAGAAACATCGGCGCTCATTGAAAGTGATACAATCTCGGAAAATAACAGATGTCCCCTCGTTGCTCGAGTGCTCAGCAAAGAAAGCCTCCGCGAGTACCTCGGGAGATTTCACGGTAAGCCCTTTGTTGTACTTGAAACGCTCGGGGGCGACGAGACGAATGGCAGCGCTCGTAGGGAAAATTCACCGATTCGAATTATTTACTAATTCCGTGCACCTTTCCTGTCATTCTGTCCGTTGAGTTACGACGACGAAAACGGAAATTAACCCTCCGGCAACCCCATAAGTGCCCCGCCGATCGAAGAATCGCGACCAGTTCGCTGGTATCCGTCGAAGACGGTTGAAACTCTGACACGAGATTTTCGCGTAACCTTTAAGCGTTGCATTCTTGTAATCGGATCGGTCGAAGTATGTACATAATTGTTGCCGGAGATAGTGCACCGTGCTGCGAACGGTGGCAATCTTGAGACTATCTTAATATGACTGTTAATATGGGAAGATTTTGAGGACAGATATTCTTCAATTCATCGGATGATTCGTTAGCGAACGGTGGTGCGAGTACAATGTAATGAAATTGAATTACTTGCACCGTTTCCTTCGACATTAATCAAACTGCTGAGTAATTGTATTTATCGCTTTCTGCTTCTTCTTGCCTTGAATGTAATCGTTGGAGGCTCTTTTTATCGCAGTAATTTATCACTTGTCGCACGATTTCCTCGAGGACGTAGTATATTTAATGTGAAGGTTAAATATTTCTACAGTTAAGGTTATTGCTCCATTTTGTTGCGAGTTCGGTGGGAGATTGCGAAGAATAATATTTTCCCGACGAATACTGAAGTATCAAATTCTATCGTTCAACGATTTCCGTCATTCCTGTAATATTGATTGAAGCATATCCCATAATGCTTCAGTTTTACGTTGACGAAAGAATACAATCATAATTTACTACATGAATATGTTAAAAATCGACTACTGAACATATATATAAAGTTCGAAAGAACAACGTTTCTACAATCGTATTATAAACGCATTAAAGTTCATTTTAGAACAATAGTAACATACGTTTCATTTAGTTTATCCTCCTACTTCTCGAACGGAGTTGCAGTGTAGCTCTTTCGATAAATAACGTAGTTTCCGCTGATCGGTATATCTAGCACTTGCAATTATAATATGTATAATCACAGGAAGAGAATCGAAGCAACACTGCGGGCAAAAACGATAAATGCTGTACGTAACGAAGTAACGATTCCGCAATGTTGCCAATTCGTCGTCTGAATGTCGTTCCTCTTCTTTTAATGACATTCTTTCAATGACGTTCTTTGTCGAAGAGCCGGGTTCCGTGTGCTCCGAACAAGAGCGGCGTATGCCGCGTTCTCTCCATTTTCTTTCGCTATCCGCGTGGGTCGGTCTTTAAATAGTGGGACAGCAATTTCGTCTTTATTTACCGTGTCACGTCAACCGGAAATCGCCCGGCATTAGGTTAATGCACAAAAATCCGAGCGTCTTTAATGATCCCCCTTCGGCGGGTTCTTTGCGCGGCCGCCATTAACGAGGCCGCGGGATCACAAGATTTCTCGTGGAAGCGCTTTTGTCGAAAGGAAAAGTGTTCCCGCGTATCCGCTAATTGCAAATCGACCGTCGAGAATGTCGTTACACTGTCGCTTTGAGACACTCCTCCGTTTTTTCCCCACTTCTCGGCGCGACCCTCTTCTTGGCCACGTAATTTTTCCGTGTAAAACGCCACGGGACGCGATATTAAGTAATTTAATGCGTGCCAGCTTCGTCTAAGTTCGCCACAGACGATAAAGGAACCGAGTAATTAGTAAACTTCGCGTCGTTCGTTTCATTTCCACGGGGAAGTTCGTGTTTCCCGCTTGTCCCGGCCATTGCTCGCGAAATGATACGTTCCGTTTGTTGTCGATTGATTCTGTTTGCGTGTTGCATTTAAAAATTGAAATTTAGCGGCGGAATGCTGGAAAATTTAGGTACTTTGACCTCATCGAATTTGAATTCAAAGAATTTCAAGCTTAGAACTTAAACTAATACATTTACTTTGATCAAAGTTAGCTTTATACGCTCTTCTAAAATGTTATCATCGTAAACATATCATTCAATGTCTTCTTTATCAGAAAACAATGTGCGTTACGGTCGCATAAGCGACTCAACGAATTGTAAACAACATTCATCAAAGATGCCTACATCAATTTTCCTAAAATCGAATTTAATACAGAAGATTTAAATCCAGAAGATTCGCTTCGAGATTCTTCATCCGGACAATCTCACGACACGCCGGCAGTACGTTCCACGCTTCGATGAAACGTCTTTATCCGCGATCCATTAATTTTCCATTAATTTTTCCGGGGCATCGGGGCAAGCGAATAATCGCGGAATAACACACTCGGCGAAAAGCCAGTGTTACGTCGCGTTCCTCGGTTACCGTAATAAGCGTTTCTGTTAGAGCCGCATCACGGTAAGTGGTCGCGCTTCTTTTTAACGGGATACAAAGGGATCGCGCGGTCGCCGGGACAGTAACCCGTAATCAGTCGACGGTGTAGCACAGCTTGCACATTTTGATCGAGTCGAATCGTTTATGAGGCTCCCTCTCTTCCTCTTCATCGCCGCTCGAGAGGCCCGCCTCATCCCCGCGTCTCCTAGCGGTCGTGACGCTCCTCACGATCACGATGAAAGGAGCTAATGATCTACGAACCGGGCCGAATGATAATTAACACTCGTCGTAACTGCGGCGTGATTAACTACGATGAACGAAAGCGACGGTGGAATGCGCGTAGGTGTACGGACGCCGCCGCCGCTGTTGTGAACCCGCCTTCAGAGGTATCCCGATCGCCAAAGAGGGTATTACTGTCGATGTAAACACCAATCTGACCGCAAGAATCTCCGCCGCGGGAGTTTAAATTACACGGCTGCTCGTGAAAGCTTCTTGCCCCCAGCGAAACGACCGAAATTACGATCGATTCCTGAACTCGCTGTCTTTCGCAAACGATTTTCGGGAACGCGCCAGTCGGAAAACGAGTGGAAAGTTCCTTCGAACGATTCCTTTGTCGTTTCTTTCGCGAAATAAGGCTTGACAGAATATTACCAACCCCTCTTGCCTTGCAATGTCGTATCAAACTCGTGACGAAAATTTCTACTATTGTTTAACGAATGTAAACGTTCAGTTCTTCTGAGTTGAAATGAAACATCGCGTTTGTTAGTAATTTGTATAGTTTGGAGTAAATATAGGTATAGAAAGAGCATTTTTATTTTATTAGTACATTATCAACGATGAATAGTTCTAATGGAATTGCGAAATTAAGTCGTAAGGTGTGGGGTTAATTTCGATCTGTCTTACGTTGAGTGAAATGGGAGTGTACTCCATGAAAGGGAATGAAATCAGAAGAAGAAATTTCGGGTAACGCAGAAGCGAAAAGCACGTCGGAGGACTGCGAAAACTGTATTCCATCCGCGGCCCTAATTATTTCACAAGTGTTCGCAACTGTTTACCCGAGTTTCTGACCGAATTTAACGTTGACCCTCCGCTCGCCCCTCGCCGAGTATACACGGTGCACGTATGGTTAGGACCGCGGGGTTCAAGAGTAATGCGTCTCTACTTGCACAGGTCGACGGAACTGCAAGCACGTAGGGCAAGTTAGCAAATTAACCTTTGCCTATTTTCCTACCGTGGCGCGGGATGTAATATTTAATTATTCGCGTATCAAAAGCTAACAGAGGGAATCGTTAAAACGCGCGTGGGACGGACGTAAAATTCTCGTTACTCTCTCTCTCTCTCTCTCTCTCTCTCTCCTCCTTTTTTTTCCGCTGCGCCACGGCTTTTTCCTGGGATTCGCATGAAATCGGTTGCGTCGAGGAACCGCGACGACTAAATTCGCGCGTATAGGTGTAATCAGGCTTGAGCGGCGAAAAATGGGCAAAAATTTACCGGCGACACCGGCGATGTTTATTATTCACCGTGGCGTTATTTATTTTCTGGACGCACCCCGCCGGAACATTTGCTTTTGGCGAACCAGTTTCGACGGTGCCAATATTTGCCCCGTTTCGCGCACGATAATCCCCTGAATTATGTTCTTTGATGCGGCGGCGGCGGCGGCGCGC